ACACATAAACAGCTTTCCAAATACTTGCTCTAATTGTCTAACAGCATATCTATATCAATACTACACTATACACATAAACAGCTTTCCAAATACTTGCTCTAATTGTCTAACAGCATATCTATATCAATACTACACTATACACATAAACAGCTTTCCAAATACTTGCTCTAATTGTCTAACAGCATGTCTATATCATACTACACTATACACATAAACAGCTTTCCAAATACTTGCTCTAACTGTCTAACAGCATGTCTATATCAGTACTACACTATACACATAAACAGCTTTCCAAATACTTGCTCTAACTGTCTAACAGCATGTCTATATCAGTACTACACTATACACATAAACAGCTTTCCAAATACTTGCTCTAACTGTCTAACAGCATATTTATATCAATACTACACTATACACATAAACAGCTTTCCAAATACTTGCTCTAACTGTCTAACAGCATATCTATATCAATACTACACTATACACATAAACAGCTTTCCAAATACTTTCTCTAACTGTAACAGCATCTCCAATAGAGCAAGTGAAAGAAGCTGTTAGATACTCAGAGAATAATGAATTCTTTAATTTTTAAGAAAATATTTTCACATTTTTTTAGTTTACTCTTCTTGTCCCATTTAAATTTATCCATGCACGACAAACTTGTTTCTCACCACAGGTTCACACTGGCATCTTTTATGACAAGCAGAGCTAGTGGTAACTACCACAGGGAAGTTTACACCTGTGTATTGGTTAAAAGAGTGACCAAGACAACAGCAAACTTACATCACCAATTAGATATGTAATGGAGAGTAAGAAGTACACTAAAATGTTAATATCTATTTATTAGAGCAGTAATACATATAAAACATACACACACAAGTCAAGCTTACCTAGCTTGCATGTTAGCCTCCACAATATTAAAATGTGATGTCAAACCTCCATAAGGCTTAGAAGGTGTAGCTTCTACCATGTAAGCTCCAAACTCAGGATGCCACAGGGATCGAACCTCACTGTCAGTTAGAAATCAAACTGGTCATATTAAAAAAGATTATTAATTAAAGACTCTTTTTTTAACAGTAAGATAGTAATTCATAATAGCATCACATATCATAACACACTTACATTAAATGTAAGCTCTTAAATAACAATAAAAAACTACATTTAATCTAATATCTTATTTATACAATACCACAAAAAATAACTCCATTAAATGTACTAACTTCCCCTTACACACTGCCAAAACACAACTGCAATAAATGTATTAACACCTCCCTTGCACACTACCAAAAACCAAGTGCATTAAAAGTACTAATTCCATTACAAAATACAGTTAACTAGATACATTAAATGTAACCATACCTATACATAATATCACAAAACAATTAACGAAAATAGCTCCTACACATAATAAACCTTTACATTACAAAACAACTTTATTAATTGAAATAACTCAACTGTACAGATTCCAGCATATCATACAATGTGGTTAACTAAATTTCATTTACTGAATGATATTACATTGATAAGAAACAAAGTACACCAGTTGGTCACTGAAATATCTCACATGACAACTTCAACTTTTTCCTCTTTTCTTTCAATCCTAGTATTTTAAACACATGTTCACAAAACTTTATCATTTGGTCATGTAAACCAAAATGTAGTCACATATCTTGTTTCCCTTATTCTTGTGAATCTTAGTTTATCATACATTCACATGCCAATTACTTTGTGTTAATATGTGGAAGTATTATAAGATGGTTTTACTAGTGTTTCATAAATACGTGTTAAGGCATCTAGTGAATTGTATTTTATCAATACACTTAAGAGCACAGCAGTTAATGCTTACGTCATATTATGGAATAACGTAATTTTGTGTCAGCTTATAAGTAAAACACTTTAGAAGATAAGAATCTTGTAAATAGCTTCACTGATGACATACATGTTCCAGCCATGTAACAATATACTTACAAACTCAACAAGGTCAGATGAAATTTACACAACTCTGTATGATGGTTTAAGTGAAATTATTTATACTGGCACGTTACTTATCTCAAATGGTCGGGCTCAGTTACAGTTCTAAATAATGTGAACTTGAAGCAAATGTTTTTGGTTAAAACATCTTTGTAATCCATTTCTGCAATGACTAAAAACATACATTATGTGTAATTATAAATAACGTATGAATGAAAATGAAACAAACTTCTAATTAGATCTGAAATACACAAGTTCCAAAACTGTAACTAGGTCAAGATAAATGTGAATACCTGTAATTTTTAAATGTTGCTTTAAATATTTTTGAAGCAATTTTTCAGGCATTGAGATATAATAACTTCTAATTCCATTAAAATATTTCAAGTATTTTTCATCTTCTTACTGTTTTCATTGTACAAAAATAGCTTGACACAATATACATTCTCCATTGTTATGACATTACCATCTATATTCCAAATAAGTGCACAAACACAAACTGTAATTACTTTACCACGTGTCTCATTAACCATCCACCACACACACACACTGTAATTACTTTACCACGTGTCATTAATCATTCACACACGATTCATTATCTGGCCATATACTGTACTTACTGTCATTACAAACTTAATTAACTTTTCATATACATGATTAATTATTCACACACTATTATTACACAATAGGAAAAGCACTACTCCACTCAGAAACATTATTTCATGATAAAGAAACAGTTTTCAATACTTTATTTATCTGACATCCACAGATTATTTTTGTTCCCTAAAATAGTATTTCGTTATTTTTGCTTTTGACAAGATATATTTTTTCTGGCAGTATAAATATTAATTCTTTAATGTGTATAAAAATAAAATAACCTTATAATTCATGATATAAGAGTAATTACACCTTGAGTAACCAAACATTTTTGCTTCTCGCACATATTCAACCAGTTGGGAGACAGAAGTCTCCCTCCAACATAACCAAAAAGAGAAACAAGCCTATGTGCCACTTTAGAATTATGGATGTGTTGGAGCTAATACCCAGAAATTAAAAGTTCAACAAAATGTTTATTGAATCAAAAAACAATAACGGGGAAAGTATAGAATGTTGTACCCAGTCAGTATTATTTGGAAATTATTTCTTTGTTCATATGTATACTACAAAACATTCATACACGATTTAAACTATTTCTACCTAGGGTTTTCTTTTTCTTTCTGATGCATGTAGTCCAGAACATCACTGGCTCGGAGGCTAACTTGTGCAATTTTCCTGTCGTGGTCAAATTTGATAATCATATATTCAACCTAGAATTCAATTAAAGATCAACACTTATTTGCATGATAATATACTCAACTTAAAATGCAATTAAAACTGAACCTGTATCTTACTTTCAGACACACGATTTAGTTATGTGAGAAATCAGTTTACTTCTAAATGCGTACATGGTTGCAGTAGTTTAAGATTTCAAACTTTTCTAAGAAAGTAAACTGAAATAAAACTACCAAAAGGTATTGAGAATTTGTAGATAATTTCAAGAGTTCGTACAAACTTTCACTAATAAAATTAAAAATTTATGAGAAATGCAAGAAAGCAATGAGATGTGTATTTCAGAAGAATTTATTCAACTATAATGAAAAGAATAAAACATACAATGGTCAGAATAACAGAAATTCTAACAAGGTTTGTAAAACTACCAAGAAGACAATTCATAAAAATCTAAGACAAAACGAGTTGATAAAAATTTACTTACAGTAAATTGGAAAAACAAAGTCCAAGATAAATTTTGTAATACAGTATGGGGTTCATAGCACTCAAACATAAATGAATTACAAAACCAATTTTAGATTTTTTTCAAGCCCCTTTTTAAAATTAATTCTAATAATGTATTATTATTATTAAAGTACTTAAGGTAATGTGTGCTAAATCAAACAATGTATATCATGGAATATCTTGAAATGATCAATCTCTAATCACTTGACAAAAAAAAAAAACACATGCCTTACTCTAAACATTTCACTTGTGTATGAATTTTGGACTGTTTAAAACTATAAGCATGAACTAAAACTGAGATGATAAATTCAAGGTAAAACTGTTAGTACCATACAAGACATGACAAGATGTTAAGAAGGTCAAAAATAATTGATAAAAACTTTATAGGAATTATTAATAAAGCACACAGTATGATAAAGGGTTTCCCAGTCAGGGAACTATAACATGAAGATATTATCCTACACAATAAGATCATGATGATTATACACCCTGAAACTAGGATGAGACAATTGGGAAACAAGAGCACAAATTTCTGGGGGGTGTTTATAATAATATAAAAAACAAGCTAAGTGTGACACTCGCATTTCAAAGAAACCAGCCAAACAGTACATAGTGTTCACAACCCTCGTGACCCAAAGGAGCCAGTCTAACTTGGCACTACACGTGTGACCCAAAGGAGCCAGTCTAACTTGGCACTACACGTGTGACCCAAAGGAGCCAGTCCAACTTGGCACTGCACGTGTGACCCAAAGGAGCCAGTCCAACTTGGCACTACACGTGTGACCCAAAGGAGCCAGTCCAACTTGGCACTACACGTGTGACCCAAAGGAGCCAGTCCAACTTGGCACTACATATGTGTGACCCAAAGGAGCCAGTCCAACTTGGCACTACACATGTGACCCAAAGGAGCCAGTCCAACTTGGCACTACATATGTGTGACCCAAAGGAGCCAGTCCAACTTGGCACTACACATGTGTGACCCAAAGGAGCCAGTCCAACTTGGCACTACACATGTGACCCAAAGGAGCCAGTCCAACTTGGCACTACACATGTGTGACCCAAAGGAGCCAGTCCAACTTGGCACTACACATGTGTGACCCAAAGGAGCCAGTCCAACTTGGCACTACACATGTGTGACCCTTGTGATACCCAACAACACCAGCTGTGATAACTAGACATTCCCAGTATAGCATTGTACTGTTTAATCACTTTTTCAGATAACAGCTATCCAGCAGCTGTGATAGCTAGAATTTGCCAGTACTACATATTTCACCAGACTTGTTCTGATAACAGCTATAAAGCCACATCAGCTGATAGCTAGACACTCCCAATACTACATTGTACTGTTTAACCATTTGTTTGAATAACAGCTACCCAGCATCACAAGCTCATGGCTAGAACTTGCTAGTATAAACTATACTGTACCATTTCACCAGACATTATTCAGATAGTCATTATTCTTTATTTATTCTGACATACCTATAACAGTTTCTATAGTAAAAAAGAAAAAAACATTAAATCTTCTGAATCTGTTAATTAGTTTGAAAAAGTTGTTTTAAATCAAAAAATGTTAATCTCAAAATTAATGATTTGCAGGTCTTCAGTTTGTGGTCTTAATGTTTTATTAATTATCATGCTATAGACATTTATGGCACTGCCACATGAAGTTAAAATATAAAAAACATATGTGTTGTTTGCCAATCAAAAAAGTTGTCTATATTGAAACAAAATATCTCTCTTGTCAATAAATCTTGGTACTGTGTAAATAACAATAAAATAAATGTAACAATACATTAAGCACATTTACTGTGCGTATTACAATCCATGAATTTAAAATAAAATAATTCTGTATCATTAGTACAAATGGCAGAGATTTTATCAACTGTTAATATCATGGTACTTTCAAGTAATTATTAATCAACTAGTTTTAATCAGGAAATCAGAAGAAAGAAAAATGTACAAATAATAATTATATTACTGTACTGAAGAAAGTCAATGAAAGTTTAAATGTAATGAACTTCATCAAATTTAAATAGGTTTTAGGAGTTTTGCAGAGTTTGGGCTATGCTACAGAACCATACATGTTGGTCAATATGCATGCACCATGCAAGTTTGTAAAATGTAGTGCTCTGGTCCCTTATATACTACATACCATCTTTATTACTAAGTTACTCACCAGTGGAATGTGACTGTCAGTGTCACTGTTCAAAATATATGACTGGAAATTAAATATTTTAATTTCAAATATCTATGATTGTCATTACACTTACAGTTAGATATACAACTTCAAGTGTAACTTCTAACACTGACAGAAAAAAAAAAAAAGACTAACAATTGTTATAAATACATTACCTAGGCCTTGTCATAAACTGCAAATCACCATCATATTCATAGTTCATACTCATAGATTTAGTTAGAAATAGAAATAAGGTTGTTTATCGTCAAATTGGAGAAATATCGATATTTTGGTAATTATCATGAGTAATATAACATTTTGCTGTTCTTTTTAAAACTTAAAGATGATTAAATTTAAATAATACTTCCTCTGTTCCAATCCAATTGATTAGGTTGATACTATTACTCAGTTAAATTAAACCAACTAACCTCATCTCCCCACTTCAATACATCATTTTGACGATTCTTCAGTTTATGGTAGAGATTAATAAACTGTAAAATTCCTTGATTTCTAACAGTGTCAGCCCATTTTTTTGTTTCTTTCCAAGACAACGGAGAACCTTCAGATAACAGCCCCATATCTGATTGACGATTTCTTGACTGACGACGAAACTATGATCACACTTATGTTTTTAACTCAAGAATTTCTCCTACTGGCATGCATCGTTAGCGCAGGCGCTCTTTCACAGATAAAGAGCACGTGGTTTAGCCAATAATATTACATTCTCTCGCCTTCTCAGTTGAAGACGGGTGTAAAGATTAAACAACTACGAGTGTGTATAGTCGAAGCTCGTGATGAGTGATAAACAAATTTGACGAATTGATATGATAGAATCAAGTTTATGAATGAAATGGAAAATAGATTTGGTTTCTTCACCATCTTAAGATATATTTATTTGCAATTTTTCTTGATTTTTGTAGTATTATATAATACTCCCATTTACGATATAAGTCCTAATTACAGTTTGTGGGACTATAAATAGGGTAACTAATTATTTGTACACATGATTTATATATATCAGATACCCATCAGAGGCTCAGCGTCAAGTCTAAGGGCTCACAACACTAAAAAACCGGTTTCGATACTTGCGGTGGGCACAGCACAGATAGCCCATTGTGTAACTTTGCGCTTAACAACAAACAAATAAATAAATTAAATTAAATAGGCTTAAAGTATTAGTTTGTAATATAATAATTGTTGCATTCACAATTACAAAGAATCCTACAGCTCCAAAGTCTGAAATTATTTTTAAAAATGTTACTTAGACTTAAAATATCTGATGACATCAATTTATATTTCATAATGTACATGCAATGTTCTTTTAGAAATAATTCTGTAATTTCTGATGCGCTAGCTATTAATTCAATACAAAACTACTTATGCTTGGAGACGGCTCGAATGGATAATGAAGAAAAACTTTAATATAAGTTTAACATAACAGCAAATATACAACGTTTCGACAAGGTTTGATGATGACAAAACTTAGTCGAAACGTTTCTTCTAGTCAATCCTAACTTACGACAATTTTTAGCTGAAAACTTTTAGTTCGTCTAAACTCAGTTTGTGATGATTTATTTCATAAAAGCCTAAAAAGAAAAACGTTCGATTTCGTGACTTGCAGGTGGCAGCACCTAATTCAGCTAAGCTACCATCTATAGGTTCAGAAGAAACCAAAGATGTTAGGATGTGAGATCAGTGGGAAGCCAGAGGCTGTATATATTTAAAAACTGTTAGTTTATGTGTAGTGAAATGTAATGAAGGTAAATGTATATGGCAATATAAGTGACTAAATAAATGCGTGTACGTGGTCACACACGTGGGTAAGAACGTTACACAAAGTGATTCATGAGTGCTGTACGGCATGGATGAATCAATTACATAACCAACACAACGATTGACCTGATTATGACAAAACGTTGTACATTTGCTGTTATGTTAAACTTATATTAAAGTTTTTTTTCATTACCCATTCAAGCCGTCTCCAGCCATTATTAGATTGTTCGTTTGGAATTAAGCACAAAGCTACACAATGGGCTATATGTGCTCTGCCCATCACGGGTATCGAAACCCGGTTTCTAGCATTGTAAGTCCGCAGACATACCGCTGTGCCACTGGAGGGCTCAACATAACGAATAAGCAACATGTAAATGGAACAATGAATTTGATCCGGATGTTTGTGATATGACGTTAACACTATTTACATGTTATTTTAATTAATATTTAAGAGAGAATGTTTCTATTTTAACATTGAAACATTCGACAGGTAGTGAATGTTCACAGAGAGATAATAGTATTTTGTATACATATGCATGTGTACTTGCATTTTATTTTAAAATAGTATTTTTTGCATTATGTGATTTTCTTTGTTAAAGAGTTAGTTTACATATTTGAATATGTTCCCTAATTAAAGGGTTTGTTTAGGTATTGTGTGTAATTCTTTTTTATTTGTCTCAATAAATGTGTGACTTCGTGGTGCATTTCACAAAACATTTAAATTAAAGAGTTTATTAGATGTAGGCTCATTCTAGTCCAATTTATAGGTGATATTAACCTGTAAAATGAATTTTATTAAAAGAAAAAGGGTTGTCTTAATGCATATTCTCAATTAAATGGTTTATTTTTAGATTATGTGGTATTCTGTGTTTAGGGTTTGAAATGACTTTATTGATTTCATTGCTTAATAGGTTCATTTATGTATTCATTGTTAAAGGGAATTTTTGTACTACATCTTTGTTTAGAGTTGTGGTGACTGTGAAATGTGTAAGTGTTTGGAAATCAGAAAGGGTTAATGCAGTTCTTGTAAGTTTAAAGTTTACTGGTTTCAAAAGTAAATGTAATTATTAGCTTGGAACAATACTAAGGTAAGGAAGACAGGAAATGTGGTACAGAAATATAGCATAGGTTTCTTCATTATGAACTGGACTTCGAAATATATTCACCAAATAGTTTTAAAAAATCCATCTAACAAAAGAACAATGTTACAGCATTGTTTTACGTTTATTGATTATGTCTTTATTTATCCAATTTCTAAATAATATTAAGAAAAATTGTGGCCTGTGCAAAATTTGTATTTGGCACCCCTGCCCCTGTAAATATGACAAGAACTGCTAATTGCAATGTCAATTATTGGTGCCTCTTGCAGTGGGCGCCCTGCTTTTAAATTATTTTTTTCATTTGATTTATGTAAAACTTTACTGAGTGATGTACTAATTACATTATTTTGGAGAGTTCTGGAATTTGTACCTTTACATGTTTGTAGTCGTAAACTTTCTTGTTATGATACCAGTGTTACTGGTGAGCACGTGGTCGATAAGGTGATGAATTACAATTCGCATTTCGATGATAAAATGTTGTGTAATTCTTCATTGGATATATCATCTAACATTTTGATATACTTAACGATGTTAACGCCAATGGCTCTCTTGAAAGTCTAGCTAAGATCTGGGTATTTAATTTTGCAAGTGTTGGTTAATAAATGTTGTATAGAAGAACTGGCCAGCTAAACTCTAGAAATTAATGGTAGTGTCCTGGCTGGAGAGTACAGAAAGGTCCTATAGCTACAGCAGTAATGGTAAGGGTGTAGACTAAATAGGTTCTCCTATTCCATATTTAATAGTAAATGGTGGTTAGGATGAAATTTTTACAGATCCAAAAGAGGTGTGGCTGGTTTGATATTTACATTTACCAAAAGCTATATTATTTCACTGTTTTATTTTCCACTCATTGGATTTTGACACAACAGCCTTTCTATACTTCGCTGATGTCCTTTTGCACTTCAATATTATTACAGCCTTTCTGTAGTTTGTTGATGTCTTTCTGTACTTCTTCAAATTTATTGTAGTAATCCTTCTGTGTGCCTCCATTCCCTTCAATCAGAAATATTTTTGTTCTTATTCATCTATAAATATTATACCTCTTTCTTTTAACTCTGTCTCTAACCTCTTAATTGTCTTTGAATTTTCTATAAATTCCTTTTTTGGTCTTCTTTTAACTTTGTCTCGTTCTTCTAATTTTATGTACTTTTTCTTGCTCTTTTAATTTGCTGTCTTTTTCTTTTTTTGACTGTTTAATCAAAAACTTCCAGTCTTGCTTCATGATCGTGTTTTCATCTTGAAAGTTGAAGTTTAGTTAAAGTTCTATTTAACTTTCACGAAAACAATTCCACTCTGACTTCATTGTTGTAATGTGTCTATCGTTAGGTGGATTCTTTTGGTTATTTGGTAAAAATAGTGCTAAGTACAGTCCACTTAATGATAATGCATTAATTCATTTTTTCAATAACTTTAACGCAAGTTGCAGGCGCAAGTATACAAACATTTGAATAGAAACTCGAAAACCGACTTACTTATAAACTTTTCAACAAAATCCTCGCTAACTAACTCACCGAGTAACTGAATCGGCGCGATAACTCTCACTATTAACAATGACACGAATGGATTATTCAATAGCTACGCCCATCTCCGCTCTTCCAACATTATAGGAATTCCACACAATAACGCCATTAAGAACCTGCCGCCCTATGAAAATATACGCGCTGCAACAACGATTGTGCAGGCCCTGTACACAGGCCTTACCTTTCAGGAACTTTCCAAATATTACATTTTGCAATCTTTAAAACACACATCTAAATTAAAATCAATACCTTCCAACATTATATTATACACCATAAGACTTGATATTTTAATATACTTAATGTGTAAAAGTGAGACTAGTTTTGCTATAGAGCTAAATTTTTTGTAGACTGCAGAACGTGTTTGGTGTAAAATGATAAAAACCTTAACTCGGTTGTAGCAGCTTTCCAAATTTAAAATAGCGGCGCCCCTCTAATTCAGCAGTTTCCTTGCCATGTCATTTATGTTCAAACGTTCACCATTTAAACTGGGATATAGGTGCTAATTCGAAGTCCATATATTCCAATGGCTTTCATAATGTGGCTTATTTTATGTGTATTCACATTAATACCCTTTTAATACACTATATTATAAATCACATAATGACAATTTAGGTAGATCTAGCATATTACTAAACTTATAGTACATATTTATAGGTGAGAGGTACTTGGGCTCATTTCCATCATGTATGATATAACAATCTAATGCTCGTAACGTTTTGTTTTTATGTAAATTTTTCTTGAAATAGGTGAATGATCTGCTTAGAAGTCTGTCATGGAGTGGTTGTATTCATGTAGGATGTAAGAATTTGTTGAGTTGGGAACTTTGTATTCGCTAATGAGTATTGCATTTTGTAGTTTAGTTTTGGTGGGGGAAACATTAATCCAGGCTAGACAAGCATATTCTATAACCTCTCCAACTCTTCCGTTGTAATTTTTGGACTCAAGCAGGTCCTTCAGCAACAAAAGGTATCATGACTATAATTAAAAAAATGCTGATGTAATGTTAAGGAGGGCCCTCAATAATAAAAAAGTACCATGTCTATCATTAAGAAAATACTGATATGTTTAGGAGGGCCTTCAGTAATAAAAGTTACCATGACGACCATTAAAGAAATATTGATGATATGTTAAGGAGATCCTTCAGTAATAAGAGGTACCATGACGTCCATTAAAGAAATATTGATATTTTAAGGAGGTCCTTCAGTAATAAAAGGTTCCACGTCCATCACCGAGGAAATGCTGATGATATATTAAGGAGGTCCCTCGGTAATAAAAGGTACCATGACTTTAATAAAGCAGTTTCGACGTGCTACAACTAATGTGTTAAAATCTTCTTATGCTCTGATGACATAGTTCATCCATTTTTATTTCCATACAATTTTAACCAACATTACTTAAGACTGACTAGTAAGGCTAGTTAATTATCGGTGTAATTTGTTATATTATATCAAGAAAACGTCTGGAGCGTGTTCAGCAGTATCTAGCAGACTCGAACTCTGGATATTCCAATCTGCTGCTGAATACTAGAACAGAGGTGGTTAAATCAGCGGAACGTGAAAATAAAACAAAACTGTGGCATTCAGTCTACATGTTTTTGGAATTTCAGCTCACGCATTAAAATACGTGTCATCTAATTTGTAATGCCTTTAATTTTCCCGCTCCCCTCCAAGACTAAGCTTCTAAGTGCTTTTTTTGGGTCTATGGAGCCTCTCTCAAAATTCAGACTTATAATTCGCACAACTGCTAAAACGTTTGCCCACCCCTGCATTAAACTCACCTTGAAAACTAAATGATTACACGATACGTTTCACATTATCTACAATGACTAAGCAAATTCGAAAGCTAATTTTGGTCAATGACGAAGCAGATCTCAGTTTAATACAGTAACATCTAAACAGTTGTTGTTTGATGACGAAGCAAATCTCAGCCTATACGATAACATCTAAACAGTTGTTGTTAAACAGATTTCAGCTTAACCTCTAACCGCTTTGTTTTCAATATTTAATTAAATCACGTGATGCAATAATTATGCCATCAACTAAAAATTACCGTTACACGAACTAACGAAAAAAACTAATGTGAATATTTTGTTTTTCTGGAAATAATTTTACAACCATGTTTAACTGTGATTTTTTTATTTTTTTTTGCCAGTATCCTCACGTGATTTGACATGAAAGCACACAACACATTTTATCAGTAGTGTGTATTACCACCACAAAACATTAAGTAAATAATTACTCACCGCTTCACACACACGTCATCAATACTATGTCATTACTACTAAACAAGCTATTTCAAATGATCGATCAAACCTTGTCAACTGAAATATTATTTGACCAATGACAAGCAGTTTGATAAATCCTCTCGAAAAATATTTAAATATAGAAGACAAAAGAAACATCAGTGAAAAGTAACTATTTTACTATGTTATTTTTCCTAACCAACTGCCAGTTTTACCATGGCGGATAACATAGCCGTATTATTATTTTTCAGTGCACAAAAACGTTTCTTATACGCAACAATGGTATTAAAACAGTCCTTCTAATTAGCATTGTGGCCTTTACTTAAACTTGCTGTTTTTTTAAAATCATTAAAGTGCCACACATAATTGAACAAACCGATTATTTTTCGCGTCATGTTAGGCCCTATGTACCAACTAGCACATGCCCGTTGGAACAATAATTTTCAAAGAAATATTGATGTATAAATAAAAATGTGCAGTCAACCCAATCCTTTGGATTAGAGCGTCCATGCACTATGATGGTCAAGTGGGCCATTTATAAAAGTTTTGTGTTATTACATATTATTTCAATAAGGAAAACTGCAATGCGTTTATTTTAAACAAAGGAGATTGACTGTAATGCATCGTTTGATTTAGTTAGTTACAACCCAGTAGAACTCTCAGTAGCTGTGGGGATTTTCCCCGCTAGATGCCACCCGGTCCTTGTGATTTTACTGAATGCAAGAGAATACCGCTATTGAAATGAACACATTTGAAAGTTGTCATTTCTATAGTGTTAAAGAGAAGATATTCAATTGACAAATTTATTTGACATGGTAGAATAAAGTATATAATACCGACGTGACAAAAATACACACACACAAGATGAAGAACAACAAATATTTAACTCAAACACATTCCTACCTTTATGTGTTTTTTTCGTTCATGGTCCAATGTATTTCTTTCAATCACTTAATAGAAAAAATCCCATTTATCTTCCAGAACCCCCCCCCCTTTACAAAAAGTAACATTTGTGTTCTTTATCAGTATATTTTTTTTCTTCTCAGATTAACTGTTCAACACATACGAAGACCGACGGATCCGATGTCGATATCGACAAATTTTAGGAATTGCAAAAAATTAATAGCTAAAACATGCAAGGTCCCATCATTTGGGTATAGACTTTTGTATACACGTAAGACATTCTTACGTGTTCTGTGTCACCCTCGACTCCTGTCACTACAGCAACAACTAAACATGCAAGGTCCCATCATCTGGGTACTCTCGTCTACCACAAGACATTCTTAAATGTTCTGTGTCACCCTCGACTCCTGTCACTACAGCAACAACTAAACATGCAAGGTCCCATCATTTGGGTATAGACTCTTGTATACACATAAGACATTCTTACATGTTCTGTGTTACCCTCGACTCCTGTCACTACAGCAACAACTAAACATGCAAGGTCCCATCATTTGGGTATAGACTCTTAACTACCACATAAGGCATTCCTACATGTTCTGTTGTCACTCTTGACTCCTGTTACTACAGCAGCAACTAAACCACTCCAGAACTGAGGGATCATGAAATATTCACGGAGTCAACATGAAATTATTTCATCAAGTTTGCTATGTGCCAGAAGTCTGTATAATTTTGGAAGTTCTGAATGTTTCTTGACCAGAAGAAAGCTTGATACCTGCTTACTCAGGTTATTCCACCTTTCCACAATATTGAAATTATCTTCAAAAATTATTTCACAAGGTCCATCTGGTATATATTTTTTTACTGTTGAGAGTACAGATGTCTAACAGACCAGTTTCCTTGTTGAAGAACACCTTCACATCTCCATGATGTGATGGCTAAGTAGCAGTCCTAGACCATTGCATCTCCAAGGTTGGATGGCAGGAATAATATTGGCAGTAAAAGATAAATTATTTTATACCAACCATTTTACATCAGAAACTAATGGCAGGAATAATATTGGCAGTAAAAGATAAATTATTTTATACCAACCATTTTACATCAGAAACTAATGAAGTAGAGGAAGAAATGACAACAGATAAAGTTCATAAATCCTGAAGAAATCCACCTAAATAGTAAAGAAGGTGCTTTAATGAAGTGATGAAATTTGTATTTTAAGTTGTAGAGCATGAATGCTTATAAATAACTCAAACTTAATTAACCTCTGCAAACTTTCCAACTCAAGTCTGTCTGTCCATCATATTTCTGTAAATGCGTCTGTGACGTACCCTTTCATTTCGTCAACATTCCGCGATTTCCTACTGTACACTTCGTCCTTCCCAGAAGAGAAAGTCCGTATGTAACCGTATACCTACTTTTGGGCACAAACACACTCGAATACACATACACTACATTGCTATTTAAAGGACCAATTCACAGAAGTATACATTATGCTATCATACAAAACATCAGTACAGATACATTATGCACTATGTGTAACAAACACAATTTTATTATTTTTCCAGTAGCAGCGTTTACAAGCTACATGAAAATTCAATCAGTAATGATTTGTTTTAACACAAAAAGATGTGAACTTCAGTCAAAGAGACCAAAGCCCATGTCATCATCTTCAGATTCTTCCGACTCTTCTTTTTCTGCTGCTTTTGGTGCTGCTTCAGCTGTTGTAGTGGCAACAGTTTCAGCTGCAGTGGTTGAAGCAAACTTGGAAGGATCTTTTATATATTCTTTTGCCTAAGTAATAAAAAAAACATTGTGAAAATAAACACACAGATAGGTGTTAGTATTAGTGTTTGAAGTTTTCAATACTATAACCTGTACAGTGTACCAAAGAAACAAGACTCTAAACTACATTAATAGTGTCGTATTTATAAAACATGTCCAAGGAGCTCCAGTAGTTATATATACCCAGTTTTTTTTGGGATGGTTTACCGAAATTCAAAATATGTTTCAAGTATAAAGTGAATCTTCTCTTAATTACACACATAATAATCTGATCCATTTCAAGTCGTGCAAATGCAAAAATTTAAACTAGATGACAACTTTCTCCTATCAAAAATCTCCAAATGAGATACGGCTTTGTATCCAAGTTTGGGGTGGGAACAAACCATCAACATTTTGCATTTTTATTCTCATTCAAAAAACAAGGAAGCCATATTAAGCCTAAGATAACATTGTTTTTCATTTCTGTTTTTACACTTCAATATTCTACATGACTTGGAAGCCACAATCATTAAAATATAACACCATTACTAACACAGGTTATTTAACTTTGCACTTCTCCCACCTTTTGTTCTGTACCAATCCCATTTTCTTGGCATCTCAAATTTAATTACCTTGTTCTTTAGCTCACTGGTCTATTTCATTAAAAATACTGATTTTCATAACATCAGACAATTGAGGAATTCAGTTGATGTGAAGCTAAGGAACTGATGTCAATAATAGGTGGATTACCCTTCCACATATTTGTAACATTTTCTTAGAATGTAAAAGAAAATTCAGTATTTGCTCTTTGGCCAAAGTACTAATTATGTAAAGAATCGTACCATTTCAGCTTCCTTAAATGTGATGTCAGTTTCTACAGCAATGGCAATCAAATTCTTCAAACCCCTCACGATAGAATGTGGGACAGATGCAATGGTGGGGTAGCCGATCTGTAGACTCACAGCAGCCACATTCCTTACACCCTGCAACAGAGAACAGATTAGTTATTTCAACAAATGACAGTCCATCAACACACAGAACAAGGTACAAGTAACGTCTGTTAATGAAAATGTTACCTCAACACACACAGAACACGGTACAGTAACGTCTGTTAATGAAAATGTCACCTCAACACACACAGAACACGGTACAGTAACGTCTGTTAATGAAAATGTCACCTCAACACACACAGAACACGGTACAGTAACGTCTGTTAATGAAAATGTCACCTCAACACACACAGAACACGGTACAGTAACGTCTGTTAATGAAAATGTCACCTCAACACACACACAGAACGTGGTACAGTAACGTCTGTTAATGAAAATGTTACCTCAACACACACACAGAACGTGGTACAGTAACGTCTGTTAATGAAAATGTTACCTCAACACACACAGAACGTGGTACAGTAACGTCTGTTAATGAAAATGTTACCTCAACACACACAGAACATGGTACAGTAACGTCTGTTAATGAAAATGTTACCTCAGCACACACAGAACATGGTACAGTAACGTTTTCCAATAGAAAGGTTACCTCAACATATATACACACAAAACACGATGCAATAACATTTGTCAAAAGAATGATTATTTCTGTGATACCAATATCAATAAAACAAACTTGTTTTTTGTGTTCTAACATAGCAAAAGGAATATGGAACAATGAACTTATGTAAAATAAATCTTACCTCCAGAAATTTGGCTCTCAAGTCTTCTGGAGTAATGTCCAGAATAGCAGGAGAAAAAACAGTCCCAGAGTCATAAACTAGCCAAGAAAAGTCCTTTTAGTTTAAAGTTTTGCATTAAATACACAAAGTCAATTATTTCGTTTTTTTTTAAGATATATAAAAAATAAATAAACAAAAATGAGAATATAAGGTAACAAAATCAAAGCCTATTCTAATGAGCATCCAAGATATAGTGAATTTTTTAAGTTGCTAAATTTATTTTATATTTTCTTTGTCTCTCCTACACCCCCTCCCCCCAATTCGATTGCCTCATTTTAATCTGTATTTGTACCCTGCTGTACAGAAGTATATAGCACAAATTATGTCATAAAGGAATGTCTTATTATTACATCAAAGACCCAGTCATGGCTGAGAATAACTTGTGCTGGTTCTCTTACAGAAATACTCATTTGATGGCAGTCATTGGCAATGCAGATTTAAATTTTATTATTTGTTCTTCCATTTCATCTCAAGTAAATCTTTAAGTACTTCTCTCCACATGGATAAGCTTCCAAACAGAATTAATGTTTCTGATACTAATCCTCAATTCACAAGAACATTTTGTGTTCACCACGTTGTTCATGTATGCTTTTCAATAGTAAATTCTCCCCTGTCACGTTGTGTATTTATTAGTTTAGCATGAAGGATTCTAGGGATGAGATAAGCCATGTTCATTGGCCAATCAGCAATGAGCTGTCAATTGGCAATCAAGTGATGCCTTTCCAGATCACACATACTACATGAATTTCCAAGAAAAATATTTTAACCATAATATGGTTATAACAAAATTTAAATGGTGCCATAGGCTATAGGGCTGAGCAAAATAATTAGGGCAAGTTTACCGACTTTCTACACCCAAAACACCTGCAGGAAAGTTTCCTTGAATGTATTCATTATTACTTAAAGAAGGTAAAATCAGGTATTCTTTCAACAATGACAGTGCCAAAATTTACTATTTCATTTGAGACATAAATTTGTTCTGTGATATTTGATTATTAAATGTATACTAGCCTGACCAAATGCCTTAGGTACTGCAAGTGATTACTGAAAAGTTTTGAGATACATTTTGTATCCTAGCCTTCAACCATGAGTGAACACGGAATAATTTAGTAACCTAACAAGAACACAAACATTACAAGATTATTGTACATACAAAGTTAAATCAGCTTTCAGATAATAAACTAAGTAACCTTAGCTATTTTCTACATTGACTTTTTTTTTTTTACAGTTTTTAGGTTCTGTTTTGGTTTTATGCACACAACTCAATTTTTTTCTACAAAATAATTAAATAACATGTAACCACACTTGGCATTGTTTAAAAACATCATTTCTGTCTCAAGAAAACACTGTCTTGTCAACTTCTAGAACTTTATTCAAGACTGAGATTTTAGCAACTGACTTTAAAGCAACACTCACCTTGGTTAATGACAAGACCAAATGTGAAGGGAGAAATGTTTAACATATTTAACAATGTTGCCTCAGATGCACCAACTTTATCATCTTTCTTAATCAAATGGATCTCATTCTGTAAAGTAAAAATGTGTTGTTAACAACCTCCAAGTATCTTAGATTCACAAATTTTCTTTTTTCAATTCCTAAAACTAGCAAATTCAAGACATTATTGAAGTAAATGACCTTTAATATTTTTTGACTTTGGCTTTTTTAATCACAAAGAAACAGCAAATATACACAACTAGTATAATGTGCTCACCAGAATTTCAATTGTTCCTTTGGAAATCTTGGTTGGGATCTGAAGGGCTTGGAAAAAAGAAGTTTTCTCAGGCCCGAGTCCAGTGTTCTGAGGAGGAATCTTCACATCACAAGGAGCAAGGGATCCAGCTTTAGCAGGGGCTTTAACCTAAAAAAAAATAAAATAAATGTAATAATTTATTGAGAGTAGTAGTGAGCATTAGAACTGAGGATGATTAGTGGAATTTGATACTTCAGGTTGTTGGATATTGAAAATGGTGATAATCTGGAACAGTAATCCCTACCAGGACAAGGGAAAAATAGCAAAAAATGTAAATGGTGTCGCTACTAATTAAGTTTTATTTAGTACTTACCAATTACAGTGTACTACTGATTAAGAGCCCTGTAAGTAGCACTTTAAGGATGATACAATATCACTGAACTTTTTTTGAATACTCATGTCTAACTTTCTGTTCACTATAAACTTCTCTTTTTTTTTGGTGGAGTCACTGGGGACAAAGCAGAACCATGTTTTTCTGCCATTTTCCTCTCAAAAAATGATCAGGACACTCTAGGGATGCTTGATATTTACGTCTTAATAAACTATTTCAAGTTTGTAAGATTGAGATGTAAAGTGGTTAGCAGTGAATTATTTCTGGAAAATTATTTGTAAAAAAGATAGGTGAAAAATTCCAGAATTTCACATAAAATCGTAAAATAACATTTCATACAGGTATAAAATGAAGAGAGAAAAAAATCAGAAGAATTACGCCTAAATCATAAGAGTTGGCAGGTCTTTAAATCTACAAATTCTTTTATTTCTAATACCAAAAGTATGCATTTCCTACATGCACAAAAACTAAGAGACAGAGAAAAAAAAAAAAGCTAGACAGTTCAATTTTCCTGCTTAGTCTACAGAACATTTCTAATTGCAGTGTTGAACTGTCTCATCAACACAACCACCATGAAATATTGGATATACACCGTACAATTTAAGAACAATTACATTATTATGTTCCAAGCTAAAAAACAGCCATCCTTATAAAGGTACATTAGTAAGTTAAAGATGTACCTTGTTATCCAATATCCTGTCTCTCACTTCAATCATCCTTATAAAGGTACATTAGTAAGTAAAAGATGTACCTTGTTATCCAATATCCTGTCTCTCACTTCAATCATCCTTATAAAGGTACATTAGTAAGTAAAAGATGTACCTTGTTATCCAATATCCTGTCTCTCACTTCAATCATCCTTATAAAGGTACATTAATAAGTAAAAGATGTACCTTGTTATCCAATATCCTGTCTCTCACTTCAATCAGGTCCTCCTTGGTAAAGACAAATCCTACATTTCCTTTAATGTGTGGCAAGATCCTGAAAACCAAGTGTTTTATAGACAACTCTCAATTTTTTTAATCAAACTGACAAAAAGCATTAAACCAAAAATGTACACAAACACAATTTCACAACTACCTTCCATTTTTATTTAAAAAATGGAACACAATGAATAGTCATATTAGCCTATAGGTTTCAATTCACCAGTCAGCACTGAAAACTGGATAATTGTTTTAAAATAGCTAAACACTTGAATGTTATAACACATTCACATAAGCAATGTTATTCTCTCTCTCTCTCAAAAAATAAATAAAATTGAATTTTTTAATATACATATACGGAGCTACATTATGGTCTCCAGCACATTTAAACATGTAACTATGTTTATATATTTTAAAAATCATTGATACACACTTCCAAGACCACCCCACACTTGTATAGAAATTTAAATATTTCAGTGCAGTTTTTAAGGAGTTGAGAAAATGTGACAAACAATTTGTAGATTAAACCATAATCTCAGGTAAATTAAGTTTCAATTCTGCTAACTTAACACTCATTTCACTAAGAGCTTATTTTGATTATACTATAATTTTATATTTATTTTGTATCGTTCTTCAACCTACTTCTCAAGTGCTGAATTGTTCTCAAGATGTCCACGAATGGCTTTACGAATCATGGTGTTTTTACCCATCAATACAACAGCAGACTGCCTTAAAGAATGCCGTATCTGCTGCATCTGGCGAGATCCAACATTGTCCACTCCAACAATGAAACATTTTGGGTATTCATCCAGAAGTTGCTGTCAAATAAAATATTGCCATTAAAATACCAAAAAAATAAATAAATAGAAACAGTTAATGGTTAGTAAATTAAATCCTCTACACTTCCAGAAAGTTGAATAAAATTATAACCTTAAAGTCTAGGCATAACAACTACAGAGCCTGATTAATCTGATACAGCAAAGTAACAACCCTTAACCTTATCTTTCTTTGAGAAAACATATGCACCACAACAAGACAACTGTATGGTAAATATGCACATAATGTGTACCCACTCTACCACCATTTTGTTTTTCGAGTTGCTTCGTTACAACCATCTATGTCACAATACCCAAATTGCTTCGTTACAACCATCCATGTCACAATACCCAAATTGCTTCGTTACAACCATCCATGTCACAATACCCAAATTGCTTCGTTACAACCATCCATGTCACAATACCCAAGTTGCGTTATTACAACCATCCATGTCACAATACCCAAGTTGCGTTATTACAACCATCTATGTCACAATACGAGAGTTGCTTCATAACAACCATCTATGTCACAATACGTGAGCTTATATAACCAGCCAAAATACTTCCTTTCAACTTGAGTTTTTTTAGTGTGTGCTTAATCTTGTAAATGGATCTAATAGTTATTATTCAATAAAATAAGCTGTTGTATCAGTGTTGTTTTAGTATAAGCACTCATTTGTCTTGTTCTGCTGGATACGGTAACACGAGTGCAAGCATACCGCATCGTTACAACTTCTGTAATGTTAGTCAGACATGGCTGAAAGGTCAACAAAATAAAAATAATAAATATATATAAATGTATGACGTTATGAGATTTAAGCTGTTTAGTCTAAACATTTGTTTTCATGGTATAATCTGTTGTCATTCTAGAATGAAAAGGCATAACTTATATTTATTTTTTAACATGGTTATAAGATCAGTCAAATCGACCAAACCTGTACAGGGATAAAATAGCAAAAATAACAGATAAAATATTTTTTTCTTAAAAATGTTTGATAACCATCTGGAGTTTAGAGAGATTTCGCATGTGAAATTTGACAATTTTCTACTGCATAAATTATTTTTAATCTTAAAATCAAAATTATTTTGCATGCTGAAAAAAGAAAAAAATTCATGAGCATTAATTAAAAAATTAAAAATATGATATTTTGTGTATAAAAGCCTTCTAATGTCTACTGGTAACCAGTAAAGTTTTGTGCATATACATTTTTAAAAAGTTACAGTATAACTGCTTTATGGTTACTTTGGGTGATACAGGCTGGGTGGAATCCACCAACCCGTAGTAAAATGGTTAAATAATTTTTATTTGAGAATACACATAAGAACATGCACAAAGCAAACAATGACCAATAACTATTATAATTTAACTGGTTTTCTAAACAAGGCATAAGTGCCTTAAAATAATTCTATTAGCTACTTGTTCTGAATTTGATAATGGCAACTTTAAACAGAATAACTAAAACTGTACTGAGGGGAACATAGCATTAGACATTATTTGGTAAATTAAAACTTGGTCTTTCTTATAAACAACATAATAGAAAATATCAGAGAATTAAGAGCAAAATGTAAAAAGGATGTGACAGGTGGACCTGGCAAGTAGTCGTGAATTTCTAGATTATGTCTCCATAAACAAAAAGATAGAAAGCTATAAAAGTTACTTTCTCAGAATAATATCCATACTTTACACTAAACTTAAGAGATTAAAGAAGGAAAAAAAACAGATGGTGGGCAAGATGAAGTGAATAAATGTTAATTCTTATACAAGGAGTTTGAGGATTTATTTAGGTATTTCTTTACAAAATTAATATTTGATTAATTAACTACAATTAAATGTACCCATAGCAAGAGGGATAAGCCATACTCACCACTAACTTCATGAAATAATTACTCTTCCAAGTAGCTCTGTCCTCCCTGCCCATCTTGTGGTTCAAGGATTGGTCTCAGTTGAGTTTAAGGACTGGAGAATGGAACAAAAGTATTAGAATTATCCTGTACTACGTACACTAGAAATATAGTTATTTATCTTCACTTGCAGTTGTACAACCGCTAAACAACCACGCTTAGTTGTAGGTGCACAACCGCTAAACAACCACGCTTAGTTGTAGGTGCACAACCGCTAAACAACCACGCTTAGTTGTAGGTGCACAACCGCTAAACAACTACGCTTAGTTGTAGGTGCACAACCGCTAAACAACTACGCTTAGTTGTAGGTGCACAACCGCTAAACAACTACGCTTAGTTGTAGGTGTACAACCGCTAAACAACTACGCTTAGTTGTAGGTGTACAACTGCTAAACAATTACGCTTAGTTGTAGGTGTATAACAGCTAAACAATTACGCTTAGTTGTAGGTGTATAACAGCTAAACAATTACGCTTAGTTGTAGGTGTATAACAGCTAAACAATTACGCTTAGTTGTAGGTGTATAACAGCTAAACAACTACACTTAGGGCAGGCTTAAAAATATTTTTGTCTGCTGTAACCCTAAACTGATTTAAAATGTAGGTAGGTAAAGGTTTTTGTGTTTTTCAAATTGTTTGGCAAACAAATTTCGGGAATACCACTAGTTATTGCCTACGACATAACGCATTAAATAACGAATACAATTACTATCAACATCTATTCTATTAAGAGAATTAGAGAAATTTCAAATTCTTTCACAACACACTTGATGGTCGATATCAACCTCAATCAAGAAAGTTGAATTGATTTTTGCCAACAATTTTATGATTTGTTCTTCCATTTCATCTCATAGACCAAGTAAATCTTTAAGTACTTCCCTCCACGTGGATATGCTTCCAAACAGAATTAATTTGTTTTTTATCCTAGTCCTCAATCCACAAGAACATTTTGTGTTCACCATGTTGTTCATGTATGCTTTTCAATAGTAAATTCTCCCCGTCACGTTGTGTATTCATTGGTTTAGCATGAAGGGTTCTAGGGATGAGATAAGCCATGTTGTCAAACCTCAGTGCATTGGCCAATCAGCAATAAGCTGTCAATTGGTAATCAGATGATGCCTTTCCAGATCTCACAGACTATATGAATTTCCAAGAAAAATATTCTAACCATATGACAATAAAAAAATGTAAAAGTCAGGAAATTTTGTTAGTTGGGGGCCAATATATTGTCAGAAATTAGTGAAAATAAAAATGTCCCGGGTCATAATGTTAAAAAACTCAGTCAGGTTACAGCAAACTTGTGGGTCCAAATTTTCTAAACAATTATCTTTAATTGCATATGTATAACTCTGTTAAACAATTATCACCTTTATTTGTAGGTGTGAAACTGCTGAACAATTATTTTTACTTGCAGAAATACACCCTGCTAAACAGTCATCTTAACATGCATATGTATAACTCTGTTAAACAATTATCACCTTTATTTGTAGGTGTGAAACTGCTGAACAATTATTTTTACTTGCAGAAATACACCCCGCTAAACAGTCATCTTAACATGCATATGTATAACTCTGCTAAACAACTATCACGTTTTTTGCAGTTATATAACTGCTAAACAGTTATTCACAAGTACATATTTTACTTTTTACTCATAAGTTTGACTATTAGGAAGTTCGCTGTGACGTAATCAAATGGTCACGTGACTCATTGGTTGGCAAGACCTTGTTTAAAAATGGCTGACCAGTATTTAATCGT